ACATTGCTCTGTTTGTGCCGGGGCACCGGATCTTTGGGGTGAACCAGCCTTACACATTCTGAAAACAAGATTATTATTCTTACACAATCAGTTCTTGTTTAGTAAATCAGTCTCAAAACAAGATCAAAAAGACTTTTTGGCTGATATAAGATTTTAAAACTTGKTTAGGTGGACAGTTTTTGCAAATGAAAGTGTGCCATGTCAACACAAAACGTCTGCAAACCAATTCTCACAAAACTTAAAACTGCAATTGTGTAAAAATTACAGAAGAAAACTCGATTTCAGACGTATAAAGTCCAACATTCTGTGACCCGTCTAAACTTGGAACGATGTTTCTAATGTGAAGWATGCCTGAGATATAAGGTTCCAAGTTTTCTCATCTGTTTCTTCAAAATCCCATTGATCTCCATGATTGTTATTTTTTCAGTCTTTTCCAAATTTTGTCTACATCGTGTGACAAAATGCTATTAAAAGTCACAGCAATTTTCTCCCATTTCAGTTGCATGTGTTGCACAGCAGCTGATGCAGAGCTTTAGCAGTACAGATTTACAAAACTGAAACTCTGATGATCTAATTCAAACTAACTTTTCATGAAAAAACATCCCCAGCAAACATTTGTGTGCATTCACAAAAGGTTGGTGGTCCCAAGTAGAATCAAGCAATGCACCTATCCATAATTGCAACTGAGGTCAGAGTATTTTCTGTAAAGGTAACCAAACCACTTGTTTAAAAATGTTTTAATGCAGAGCTGTTTTTTTTCTATGAAACATGACTTAAAGGAGTTTCTCACTAAGAGCTGGAGAGAAGCAGAAAAGAAGAACAGAGTTGTCACGACTAACGGGGGAGAGGTGCGGGGGTGAGGACGGGACTGAAGGAAAAGAGGAGATGAAATAAAAAGTAATAAACCTGAGTGAGGAAGAGGAGCACAAAACAAAAAGATGAGAAAACAGAAAGTATAAACTCACAGAGACGAGGAGACAAATGATCAAACGAAAAGCTTCTTTCGTGTTTTTATTTGCCGTCGAAACAAATTCCAACGCATCATCTCCACTCAGTGATTTCAAGGGTTTTCTGCTACGTCTGTGTCTCACCTCATCATCAGCGATACAAAGTGTGTGAAATTTATGACTGAAAAACAGCAACATGACTTTGAGGTCTGAGAAACATTCAGATCCAGTAAATCAGAGCAGAGCCCTCTGGCTGTGACAAGCAAATTGAAGACAGATTGCGTTTACATTTGGCAATCTGGGTAAAAAAAAATAAAATAAACAAGCAGCAGAACAGAGGTGCCAAAAGTTCCTCAAACGCCATTTATGAATACAAAGTTTGATATGGACCCATTTAATTCAAATAATATATTATTTGGGTTTTKTTGTACAAAGACTCCAAGTAAGAAATTTTTTGTTGTAAATTTTATATTATTAGCTAAATTTCATATCCACAGGTGTAAATTTCCTAAACTAAACCCCAAATTTACAGTTTTTATGCGTGTTTATCCTCTTATATTGTCACCTTAGAATACTGTACCAATGCAAAAGCTTTAAAGACCAAATCAATTTGTAATGAATTTCAATTGTAACCTGCCCATTTTTTAAAATTAATTTGTTTTTTGTTTCATTTGTTTCACATTTTATGCCTGTCTTAAGCCTCAATATGTTTTTGTTATTTATGCTGTTGCATGTATTTGTTATAAATACCTGTTGTAAATAATGATTTGGGAAAAAAAATCCTGCATGGTTTAGAGGTTTATCAGCTCCAACACACCTGCTTGGCATGAATTGATGATTAAAAGGCTTCTGCAGAACTTGAAGAGGTAATTCAACCTAAGCACCTTAGATGGCAGTCCACTTCTCCATGTGTGCTCATGTGTGCGATTAGAAACATGCAGAGAACGTATCCCCCATAGGGGACTTATAGAGTAGATTTACTCTTACAGCCATTCTTGATATATTTTATCATATATCAGTCTTTTAAAATGAATATACAGTGGGTAAAATAAGTATTGAACATGTCACCTTTTTTCTCAGTAAATACATTACTAGAGGTGCTAATGACATGAAATTTTCACCAGATGT